CCGAAACCAGAACTCGAATGTCTGAGACGAGTCGGATCATGCAACTTACCATTTGAGGGGGCCTTTTGCAGCCAATGTCTGATCTGGTGTTCAGCCGCCAAAGGCATGATTTGGTTCAGAGTGTTTTGAGACGCAGACCAGTTCTTCAACGCGAGAGAGCGTAGGATTGATCGGCGCTCGCTGGGGTTCAGCTGTAACTTGAGCAGATCTCGCGTCGTCTGCTTTGGCACGGCCTGAAAGGATTAGGATGCATTAAAAAAAGAGGAAAATCTGTCAAAATTAATCAGTTTAGATCATCTAAAAAGCCATTGTTTCTCATCTCTCTTTTGTGCTCAGGGATCTAGGCCAAATTGGGATGATCTAATCCCTTGATTTTGCAAGCAAAACATTTAACCGATCCGACCACCGAAGTTATTTCCGAAAAATTCCGATGAAAGTAGGCGATCCCGATTGACTCGATTATTTGTGCAGTATCAAAAAATAGGAGGAAACAACCACCTACTCTCAGTCTCCAGTGGCTGGCCGCGTAAAACTGGTATCCCGATAGAGGGGGTCTTCGAGACTGTCTGTAAAAACCTGAAAATGCATCCTATTCGGCTTCGGTAAGGTCGAAATTGCTGCCAATTCCAGACAACGTGAGAATACGCTTCGGAGAGCATGCTTATCTGTAGCCGTATGACCTCGTATTCACAACTTGGTCGTGTTGGAAGAGTGTTTAGGTTCGATGCGCTTCTATGCGTCGAAAGATGACTGCGACTAAAGTAGAGGACACAACATCTTGCTATTCATATCGATGGTCATGTGGAATTTAGTAGAATCGTGACGCTTATTTATATGATTTTGGCAAAATTCAACTATTAGTCCATCACCATTTTGTGCCTTAGGCCGACTGGAGCCCTAATTTGTCAGCAAGTCTGTCTGGCCTTTCTCAGTTATGCTACTAATCACGTCGCCAGAGTAACGTCTTGGACTGTAACCAAGCGAGTATTTGATCCTATGACAGAGAACGCGCTACTGGGTGCGTTTTTCGAGGTCATTTTTATGCCAAGACCAAGTTGACTTTACCTCCATACACACACATTTGAGAGTTATTTTAATAAAAAAAAGTTAATTTAAGGTTTAGCGAGATAAAATGGCAACATGAAGTAGGGATAGAGGGTTAGGATACAGCTTAGTAGGCTGAAAGAGGACAGGAATAAAGAGGCTGCAATCGTAGAACAAATTTTTTCAACAACATCGACATAAAATAGGTTTTAAGATTACGACTTCAATTTCCTTTTGTGTTGATGGGACCCAGGCGATGCTGAAACTGCAGTCCAATTCATCCGGACTTGATCAAAAACTTACCGAAAGTGACGGTTTCGTAGACCCAATTTGACAATAGACTGAAACAGAGCTTATAATTTAATGTTTTCACGAAAAGATGAGTGAACCTGATTTGCCTTGAATGTCACGTTTACCCAAAGTGTCCGAAGTCGGGTAGCGGAACCACAAAACCCATGAGCTGGTATCGAATTCTGTTGGATTTGATAATGAAACGGTGATGCAAGGTCGAAACAACAGTCCGACACAATCTGGATGAGATTCAATGGCATCCAAAGACCTAATCCTATGACTGACTAATTTCTTATTCGAGAAATTATTTGCATTAAAACAGCTTATTTTGGCTAATTAAGACCATGTTTTCGTTAAATAATTGTCCTATTCAAGCAGAGTTTATTTATCTGCTAACCTAATAAAGAATTTAATCAGTCTATATCACTAAATGGTGGTTTAAGAACTGCTTTTTGAGCACTATTAGTAGCTCTTGCGTTGCGTTGGTATTATTATTATACGTCACAATAATACCTTTTATAATATTAAATTTTTATCGCTTCTAATATTAATATAGAAGAATGATAATTATTGTACCTATTACTTATTTAATTAGTCGTCTATTATTAGCCAAAGTAAATGAGACTGCAGGTTTGGCTTGGTCTCATCCCCTCATCAGCGCCGTAATAGGATTCGAACCTAGGACTAGTCACAGGAATGATGGTCTATACAACTTAAGCCAGATCTCTACTAAATCACATTTTTGCTAAAATTATCAGCCAGGCAAACATATAATTGCAATTAAAATTGATTTCAGTACATTTGTATTCCAACAGTAATTGTTTAAGGACTTTATCACCTTGGATAGTTTAGGATGATTTAAGCAAACTACAGTAACTAAGCTTTTATTCAAAATTGACTTATAATGTCAAAAGGCACTCATACCAAACGGAGTGTAATTCAGTTTTTGCAACTCGACTTACGAAGCACAAATTAAATGTAGTTAAGTTGCACCGGGATAGCCGGAAAAAATAATATTAAAGAAAAACGTAAAATCAACTTTGCAATTTTTGGCAAGAGACTTCTTTAAAGCAATTAACGACAATTTGAAAGCATGACTCTCGTAAGTTTGCCATGTTCCTGCAAAATCCGTAAACTTGTCTAACAAATGTTCTTTACTTACTGAACTTGTATCCGTGAGCAGATCAAGCTCTGAGGAAGGGCATTCATTCATTCGGCTCACCTCAGACTTGACGCTCCTAGGCTCCGGTTCTAATTCTGAAGCAAACAAAGGATTTAACAAAAGTATACATCGCTTTAATTGCCGCTCTTGCCAGATGAAAGCGAAGGAAGCTGATCCTTCCGTCCTGACTGTATAGATTCATCGAATGCAGGCTTGGAGACACCCATCAGAATAGACGTTTAATCAACCTAGGTCGCATAAGGTGCTTAAGAATTAATATTTTTCGAATTAAGTGTTGTTTTCCTGACTACCAGTAAATCATTAATATCAGATGTATTCACCCTATTTCGTTTAAGGTTCGACTCCTGCTAAAGGTGTTGATAAGACCGATGCGAGGTCGAAAGTGCAGTCCACTTCACCTGGCATGAGAGCAACTTTTGGGAAAGCAAGGCTATGTGAAAGTAAATGGGAACGTCAGCTCAACTCATATCATTGTGGGAAAATTCTTCTTCTACCAGTCATTCATCACCTTAAAAGAAATTAGGTGAAGACATCTCATATTAAGAATTTGTAGTTTTTATATTTGCAGAAGGATACGAGGAGACTTAGCCTAGCCTTGCTTCCAAAACGGTATTCTCTTCCACGATGGACTGCAGATCTATTGATAATCTCGGCAACTACTTTCAATAAATATAAGTAGTGTTGTGCATTGTAACGGAATATATAAGTTTGTTTAATTGACAACTCCATTGTTAAATCTTGATACGAGAGGAGCCTGGACTTGTGTGAAATTCACGTCTTTCATGTGACCCAACGGCACTTTTGTCAGTTTGATGTTGCCGTAACACATGTTGACCATACGCTGTACTATCATAATCCAAGTTTGAGTCCCGCTGGGAGTGTGATCAGGTCAAAACCGAGGTCTATACAGGCTTGGATGGGAATTTTCTTATGGAAGAAAGGTTATGTGAAGTTTAATGAAAACGTAAGGCCTATTCATATGATTGTGGGCAAATTAAGTCACCATTTTTTAATCACCTTACACAAAATAGGATGAATGGAGCCCTTATTCAGACTGTCTAGAACGGTCTGACTTAATACATTCGGGATGGCCGGATGGTTTAAGGAGTGAGAAGACGAGTTTTACATTAGACATGACCATTTTCAACTCAAAAGCTCTCAGTAAAGCATCTTGGGCATTCGATCGCACATAAGCGTTACAATCTCAATTCCCAATTTTACCTCGTAGAGGTAGTTATTCCCAATTTGCAAGAATCTTGGCTAGCAAGCCGTCAAATACATTGAAGGTATGAAGTCGAACCGTGGACTTGGTACATTCCCAGACGCTTCGTCGGCATCGTCAGTGAGTCTCGCCATTCGTAGTACCATATTACAACTCGTCAAAGAGACAAGTGAAGCCCATCCTTTGGCCAAACGTGTACTAAACAGTTGTGGTATCTCCCATATCTATCTGTCTATCTGTCTATCTGTCTATCTGTCTATCTGTCTATCTGTCTATCTGTCTATCTGTCTATC